TTTCTATTAATTTATTTTATTTTTTCTATTAATTTTTTTTATTTTTTCTATTAATTTTTTTTTGTTTCTTCTATTAATTTTTTTTTAATTTTTCTATTAATTTTTTTTTATTTTTTCTATTAATTTTTGTTTATTTTTTCTATTAATTTGTTTTTATTTTTTCTATTAAATTTTTTTTAATTTTTTCTATTAATTTTTTTTATTTCTTCTAATAATTTTTTTTATTTCTTCTATTAATTTTTTTTTCCTTTTTTTTCAATATTTTTCTATTTTAGGTTTTATTTATTTTTTTCTATAATTTATGTATTTTGTCCTTTTTTTTTATATTTTCTATTTTTCTATTTTTGTATTTAATTTTATCCATTTTTTTTCTATTTATTTTTTTCTATTTATTTTTTTCTATTAATTTTTTTCTATTTATTTTTTTCTATTCTTTTTTCTATTTAAGTATTATTTCTATCAATTTGTTATGAAAAGAAAAATTTAGTTTCAAGTTGAATAATTTTAAAAAACTAAAACTAAAATATCTTTGGATAATATTTCCTCATGATTTTACTTTTAAATATTTAATGGAAATTAATATTTATTCATGTATTTGTTTGTAAATATTTCGAGTTCTTCAAACAGAGTCTGCTCTTCAGTGTAGCGTGCTTAAACACATTTTATAAATTGATACATAAAAAATTATGTCAATTGAGTAAGGGAGTGTTAATGAAGCAGAAAGATATTCAAAGTTAGTTGTACACAAATTTCTAGTTTTGTTTACACTTCATTTATTTTTACCTATTTTAAATATCTCCAGAACAAATTTTTTTCTTTTAAATTAAATGTCTTAACTGAATTTTGTTTTTATTTCAATAGTGATACGAAAATATTGTAGTATTCGATAAATTCTTAGAATATTTAATTAAATTCTAAAAGACTTCGAAGAATTGAAATTGGAAAAAATGTCTCTATTAGAATGATTGATAATTTTAAAAATCAAATTAAAAACTAATAGCATGTTCAGACAGAAGTTCATTGTCATTACTGCACGTAAGTAAATTTGAAGTGTCAAAAAAAAATGAGAATTGCATTTATCACTTGCTTCATATATTGTAAATGAAGTTAACTCTGTAAAAAGTAAATTTCTGATTAGAATTGTTGTAAGATAAAGAAAATGTGACATTTATTTTTTAAAACATATACATTCGGGAATTGATAGTTTCAACAATTATAAACCACTGTCTTTTTCCACTATAGAAACGTTCCCACTTTCATGTTATTATAATAATATACACATAATCATTGTTTATCTGATGTTAATATAATTTATGATTGCTTTTCTTCAATATTTATAAATGTTTAGTGTCTCTGAACTCTAAACGTCAATTCTTTTAAAAATAAAACATCATTTTTTTTATTAAAATATTCCAAACATTAAATCAATTTTTTCCAAATCTAAGCAAACAAAGGGATTTACTTCATTTAGAGCGGTGTGAACAGCTACGAAAGATTTTAATTAAATTTATTTCTTCATAAAGTTTATTTGTCTTTCGGATTTGATTGTAGTATTAAACTGTAGTAAATAACTATATTACATTTTTTAAATTCTAGTTATATATTAAAATCAAAAAGTTATTAAAGCAATAGATAGATTCAATATCTATAAGTTAATTTTTTAGTTGATTTTGTGTCTATTTCTGTTGGAAGTATAATAATTTAATTTTTATTACATCAGTGATTATACTTTCATAGTATTTATGCAAAATGATTTCTTATAAAAACAATGTAAAATAATTCATTTGTACAGACCTCTGATAATGTATATTAGAATATATATTAAATCTTAATATTTATTCAAGTATATATTAAGATTTTTAAACCTTACAGTCTTTTTATTTAATTGCTTGCTGTACTGCACAAAGTGTTGAAAATAGAAATCAAATGAAAACCCTCAGTATTCTTGTTATTAGTATTGACTTTATCATCGTTTCTTCTGATTTTTGTAAGATCTATAGTGTTTTTAAAAAAAATAGTATGAACTTGACTCACTTTTCATAGTTTTCATTGAATTTATTTCATTTCCAAAGCAATTCCTATATGGAAATGTTTTATATTTTTTATTCTCTAGACTAGAGATGTTTAAAAAAGGAATTAATTTTTTTTAAATCCATTTTCATCAAATGATTTAAAACAGTATTGCATAAATTCTTTAGGGACTTAGTGATGTTGAGATTATTGTGATTTTGTCCAAAGTAATAAACAGGATACCAGCTCCCAACAGAGCGGAGCACTACGCCTGAATTGTCCATAATTTAATGCACTTTTTCGGTGATTCAGTGAACTGAAAAGGAGCGTGTCTTCCCATCCAAATTTTCATAATGAAAGTAAACGAACCATATCTTTGAATAAGTATCGTCCCTTTAAACTCTAATATTTTTACTTAACTTTTAATATTGTTTGCTTAACACAATACAATCTTAAATATAATAACTGATTTAGACAATTATTCTCTTTGAAAGAGATTCGTCAATTTTTTTGAAATTGCTTTTCTACTTAGAATTATAATATTCTCAATGTTCGGTTGACGATTTGAGGTTTATAATATATAAATTATATCGTACCAGTAGAATGATGATTACAATAAATTGAAAGATAAGATAGAGTGATAAGGTTTTTTGCATTTAAATTTTTAAAATGTTAATATAATATGAGTATGGCTGATAAGAATTATAAATTAAAATTGTGATCGACAATTTAATTGAACATATTCAAAAACTATTAAATTATTAGGTCAAAGTGTATTATGACCTTGATTTTATATATTCGAGTTAAGTATAATAAAGTCTTTTTAAAAATCAAGAACCAATTTTTTTAAGTGTGTTCTATTTAGTTTAGCAAGTACAGAGACAAAGTGTTTTTTTTGGAATATCTTTTGAAGCGTATTAACTGAAAAAAAAAACAATTACATAGAGAAAAAAAGCTTTTAAATATTTTGAAAGACTTTAGACCGCAGTAAACTTTTAAATTATTTACAAAAACAAGCGACAAATGACGATTTGTGCTATTTATATTAAAATTTGCACCTCTCAAATTCGATATCTTCAGAATTATGCTATGTTATGTTAGCAAAGTATGTTATATACTCAGAAGAGTCGTTTTTACTTAAAGTCGTCAAAAAATCGCGTTACTCTAGAAACCGTTATAGTGCTGTCAAACTCAAGAACATTGTTAACTTGTTTTGGTATTATATTTATAGACGTATATCTTACCAAAATGTTATGGTGCATAAATGCTTTGTCGATTGAAGATTCAAAAATTATAAGTGGAATAACTTAGAATAAATTTGTAACCAGGATTACTTCACCACTACTGAAGCAGTATAGATGTAAATAAACTGAATGTCAGATGGCGCTATTAATTAACAGAAATGCCAACAAAAACAATTTTTCGTTTCAATATAAAATCATTTAATTAATATTGTTTAGTATAAAAATGAAACTAACAACATTAAACAATTTTTTCCACTGTACTTTATGCCGATTTAGCTTACTTCTTGAGATATCGAGGTTTAAAGTTTTTAACATTTTACATTGATTGAAGATAGTTTGTTCTAGTCGGTAATTTTCCAACATTACAATCCGTTATTTTATAACTAAGCTATATTCATACACCGCTTAGTGAAAAAATTTTTTCAAAATACCATAGCTAATTGCATTAAGACTTATGGTTAAGACTAAATGGTCATTTCTAGAAAATATTCGTATATATATTTATGTATTATGTTTTCATTTTAGTGTGCTTCTTTTAATAATAATTTAACGTCTCGACAGTGATTTCTATTTTGAAAATTCGGTTCCTTTTTTATCAGTATATCTTTTGATATAATTTTTAAAATATAAAATACAATATTTTACAGTTACATTGTCACGATTTGATATAGAATTTTTTTAAATATAAATGAGAAGTCTTACTATCAATGATACTAAGGTTTATTCAAACGTTATTCTATTATGATATAATGAAAGTTAAACTGTAATATTGGTTTCAGATAATTAAAAATTATATTTAAAAATTATTTTGAGCTCTTATGATGAAAAATTAATAATTGTAAATTTATGCACAATATTAAAAAAAAAATGTTAAAATTTATTTTAATTTAAATTATATTATAAGAATATAAAAAACAAATCAATAACATAAAAATATATACAGATATGTCATATATATATTAATAATATTATAATTTCCTTCTACCCAGTTTGTGATATCGACCAATGATTTATTAGTAACGTAAATCGGTCCAATATAGAATTCAAGGAATTCAACTTATAATCTTAGTAGTTTTTTTTGTAAAACTAAAATTTTATTTAATATATTTGGTATATTATGGTTATTATTATCTGTTTCATTTTGTTTTTTTTATTTATTTTTTAAATTTATTTTTTTAATTTATTTTTTTATATTTTTATTAAGTTTTATTTTGTTATTTTATCTATATATTTTTATTTTTTATTTTATTATGTTTATTTTTTATTTCATTATTTTTATTTTTTATTTTATTATTTTCATTTTTTATTTTATTATTTTTATTTTTTATTTCATAATTGTTTTTTTTATATTTTTTTTTATTTTATTTTTTAGTTTTTTATTTTTTTATTCTTTTTATTATTTAAAGTATTCTTTTTATGTTTTATATTATTTTTTTTATTTTAAGTACTATTTCTTTTTTTAATACGATTTTTTTTATTTTTATTATATATAATTCACAAAAATGATAATTTTTTATAAATTTTTAAAATTTTTTTTATTATTTTTTTTTTATTAAAATTCTTTTTATTTATTTTATTATATAGAAGAATAGTTTTATATACACATTTATATATGCATATAAATTAAATGTGATTTAATATTAATTAATAATCATTACAATGTAAATATGTTAGTATTAAAAAAAAGTAATGTGTGTTTAATAAAAAAATTAATTTCTTTTTTTCCGTCTCGTTTTTTTTTTTCAGAAACAGACACGCCAAGTTATCAAACTGGATTTTATCACAGTAAAAACTAAATAGGCCGGACTTTTTTGGATTTTACAGTACAGTAAGTTTGAAGTTGCTTTAAAATTTAAAATTTTTTATAAACATTTATTGTACTTTTTATTAATTTTTTATTGCATATAAAATCAGGTTTTAATTTTAGAACTTCATTTTTATTTTTATTTTTAAAACATTAATAATTAAATTAAATTAGAATTTTAAAAATATTTTATTGTTGAAATGATATACAAGTAGCTTTATTAAATTTTTTCAGGGTTTAGTTAATAACGTTAACATTTTTCCTCCACCTCCATTAGTATTTAGGACATAACTGCAATACTTGGATATGTATATATATTTTTTATAAAGCAATTTATTATGATATAGTTGTTAACTTAGAAGAAAAAAGAAAAGAGTTTGACCTAGTTTTCACCCTAACGAAATAAAAATTATATAAATCTAGAATTTAATTGAGATTCGTTGATGTTATTTATATTCTTCAGTAAATAAATAAATACTATGAAACACATTTTTACATATATCACAAGCCACTATTTGAATTCTATAATAGAATAATAAGTTATTTATGTTTATATAAGATTGTGGCAGATTTTTTACATATATTACAACAACAATAAGAATAGAGTTACTATTTGAATTCTATAATAGAATAATAGGTTGTTTTTGTTTATATAATAATAATATTATATAGTAATTTATAAGGTAAGGTGTTGGTGAAAGTAAGTTCCAAGTAAAGAAAAAAAAAGTATTCAATTAGATTTCAAAAAGGTTCCATAATTATTACTTGCTGTATATATGTATGTATTATATGCATATCCTCCAAGGTAGAAAGAAAAATTGTCTTTATAATGTAGCTTAGCAGATATACAGGATTAGGCAATTAAAGTGTTACCTATACAAGCGACCATATCTTTTTTGTGTGAAATTATTATTATAATTTTAATTTATTGATTCAAATTACAAAAATTTTTGAAATTTGAAAAGTCTGATCAATAGCAGATCTCCGAAAACAACTTTCAGTCTTGCAAACGACCGCTGTCAGAAAATAGAAAGATATTTCGAATGATCTTTTGTAAGATTTTTGAGTGTGGTAAGCCGAGAGATCGTTGCGAGAATTGCGCTGTGAATGATAGATTGTCCTTAGTATGGTTTCTAGTTTTCTATGTAGTGCATTGTCGAAAGCTCTTTTATTAACTGGATTAGTAATGCAACTAAGATCGCTGAAAGATCGTTGTCAGAATTGCGCTGTGAATGGTAGATTGTCCTTAGTATGGTTTCCATTTTCCTATGCAGTTCATTCTGATTGCTGCTGCTTTAGCTTTACAGTCGAAAGTTCTTTTATTAATTGGATTAGAAATGTAACTAAGATCGCTGAAAGATCGTTGTCAGAATTTCGCTATGAATGGTAGATTGTCCTTAGTATGGTTTCTAGTTTTCTATGCAGTTCTTTCTGCTTGCTGCTGCTTTAGCTTTATTGTCGAAAGCTCTTTTATTAATTGGATTAGTAATGTAACTAAGATCGCTGAAAGATCGTTGCCAGAATTGCGCTGTGAATGGTAGATTGTCCTTAGTATGGTTTCCATTTTCCTATGCAGTTCATTCTGCATAGCAATTGTTGCTGCTTTAGCGTTACTGTCCAAAGCTAGAAATGTGTGTAGGGTACAGTAGTGTCGTTAAAGTCTAAGAAATGTTACTTTTTACTTGTTTCTTTATTAGTTATACGTTATTCTCTCAATGTACATATGAAGTTTGTTTTGAAGAAAGCATGTGGTTCAGATATCAAGTGCATTTCTTATTGTGTTCAACAAGTTTGGTTATTATTTCGATTAGTATGAAATATTATGAACTCTCTATAAAACTAGTAGTGCTTTTAGCCTTAGGTAAGCAAAAAGTTCAATAATTTCTATATAGATTTGATTGTTTTTTCCTTTTTTTGTGCCAAAAACTTGTTTTTTGGAATTTTTGAATTGTGCTTTAGTTTTTTAATTAATTTTATATATTATAAATTTATTATCATAATAAAATCCTACTTTTTTTTTGTACCAAAACGCTGATTATGGCTTATAATTTTGCATATTGTTAATAAATTTCTCGTTTTATATTTTCTTGGCATTTTACTGATTCGTTTATCAATATTTGCAAAATTATGCGACGTCAACAGGTTGAATTTTATCTGCAGTTTTCATTGTGAAAACATTTCTTTATAATAACAAGAAATGGTATAGGAAAAAAAAATTTAAAAAATTAACAAAAAATATTTAATTTTTGTGACACGTCTACGAATTGTGTTTATTTGTTGTTTTATTTGTTGTTTTATTTCTTAATTCAACCTGAAAAACAGAAACGTTTTATTTAAATAAGTCAAGACTGTTTCACAGTGTGTGTGTGTGTGTTTTTTTATTAAAGGTTTTTAATTCTTGATTTACATTTTTATAACTGCGTTTTATGTTATATACTTTACTTATTTTTTTTATAACATTTTTTTTTTATATATAGACTTATATGTATGTATATTTTTTTGTTTGCGTCATGCCAAAGAAAATATGGTTAACGAAAAAAAGAGTTCAATAAGCTACGAAACTATTTGGATTCAATAAACGCAAACGAAAACGTACCACACTTGTCCATTGTACCGGCTCCTATCCGGTTTTAGATACTTTATATTTTAACATTCTTTTGACACATTTTCGTGCTACTTTACAGAAAAAAAAAACAAAAAAACAAAAAAACTAAATAATGCTAAGATATAAAAAGAAAGCGTTTGCCATTACAATCGGTCGGTTTGGTTTCTCGTCTACATTAATAAAATATTACATTATATATATAATACATTTCCCTAGTTGGAGAATTTTGATTTAATTATTCGAGAATAAATTGCAATTAAAATTAATAATTTACATATTTTGAAATTTTCTTGCAAATAGCGAGCGAACCATTATTACGGATATCAGTTCCCATAGTGCTGATATAATGTCAAGTTCGTATCTGCTACTTTATCTGCTACTAGCGATACTAGCGATACTTCGTTCATGCAATGTGTAATGTGTGTGCTCAATTGTATCTGTATCTTTATATTGCAGAAATGTGGGCTAGGTAACATGTTCGCATACTTGTAAAACTTCAATAGAAGAAACTTTGTGTTTGTCATGGAATGATTTGTTGAACAAAAGCGTTAGAGAGTTAGAGGAGCGCAGTATAGAAGTGGTATAAAATTTGAGTGATCTTGCAACAAATTTATAAACATTTTCTTAATTTTATCTTTATATCGCTTTTTTTTTTATTTAACTTACCTCTAAAGCGAAATATAATAAATAAATTCGTAAAAATAGATAAATATTCAGGTTATAAGAAAAAAACCAAAAGTATAATAAAAAAATATTATTTTGGTAGTGAAAGCATGCTGACTGAAACTTGATTTTCTATATTGTATTTGCAGTGTAGTGAGCTCTTTTAAAATATTTTTAAAATAAGTTAAGAATCCGAAAAATCTTTATAGAGTATGAGTTTTATTGAAGGAACATTCTCAAAAAAAAGGGTTTCTGTTTTATTCATGTTATTTTAAAAGTTTCCAGTTTTAATTTTTACAAAGTATATTGTTTTAAACGGAAAATTATTATATAAAAAAAAAACCAATTTAAATATTGAAAATTGTTTTAAAATGAGTTCAGAATTCTATAAGTTTTGTTACAAGAAAACATCTATTAAAAGACGTTTTCAGAAAAGGCTATCTCGTCTAACCATGCAAATTTAAAAGTTCCCAGTTTTCAGTTTTTATACAAACTAAGTTCCTTTATACTATGCTATGTATATATTAGGGTGCCTTTAATTTTCGAAAGTCGGAAAATTGCCCGTGGCACCCCTAGATCGGTTCATTTTACTAAAAAAATAATCTGTGTGAAATTTTAGTTCAATTGGATAAGTGGAAATGTTGCACCAAGAGCCTCAAAGATTGGAAAATAACGATTTTTTCCATAAAATTCATCTTTGATTGCTTATATCTCCGACCTATTTAATTTTACATAAAAACTGTCTTCCTAAAAGTTATAGATCTATTAAAAATAAAAAAATTCACTCATACAAAGCTTTTCTGTATTTCTAATAGTTATTGAATATATATATTGTATTTATAGTGCAGGAAGCTCTTTTTAAATCTTTAAAATTAAGTTAAGAATTTAAAAAATATTTATACAGTGTAAGCACTGCTAAAAGGACATCTGTTTTAACTGTGCAATTTTAAAACTCCCTAATTTTCACACAAAGTATATTATTATCTCAAGTGGTCATTTATTATTATATATAAATTGTTTTTGTAGTGAAGAAAACTCTTTTTAAATGTTTAAAAGAAGGTTAAGAATTCTAGAAATCTATATATAGGAAAAGCTCTGTGAAAATACTGCTTTTGTAAAAGTATATCTCGTTTAACCATGCAACTTTAAAAGTCTACATTTTTCATTTTTCATATAAAGTATGTTATTTAGAACGTACCTTATTTTATCCTTGCAATATTAGACAGCATTGGTCAGAAAGTGGATGGTATCCTATTTTTTTCTCATATTTTACAGGGCGCAGTCACTGTTGTTGTTTGTAATGTATTGTAGTTCAATGTCAGTACTTCGGTTCTTACTTGCCATTTAAGCGGTATTGAGTCGTTATCCAGCATGTACTCGAAATAATTCCGCTTATTTAAACTATAAGTTAACACCCGCGTCCTCTCAAATTCGGTCCTTGCGATATTATTCGATCGCCTGATTGCTACCAAATGGGACATCAACTTATTTGACTGGAAAATTCGAAGTTTCATTTGCATTAAGATCTATATAAAATTTCTAATTATATCACTTTCTATTAATCTTATTCTTGTTTCTATCTATTTATCTTTTTTTCTCGTTTCTTTATTTCCAATCTATCTCAAAATAGTTATGTGCCTCTTTATATTTTTTTTTGTTATTTAAGAATTTTTAGATAATTTTATTACTTGCAATATTTTGTCTAATAGTCGTAATTTATACTACTACTGTATAGATTATTAAAACTATAATATAT